GACGTCTTCGTTTCCAAGGTTCTGCAAAGAACTGGATGACGACGAACAGGAGAAAGTTCATCCCCATGAGACCCCATGTTCCCCATGTACTGGCCCTCCGAATACGGTCGCTCCAAATTTGCTCCTCGTGGTATCGCTTCAAAATCCCATTATTCAGCCTTTGACTCAAGCTCTGCTCTTCCGCCTCGGCCTCAGTCAACGATTCTTGAGCATGCGCGACCTCGCCCTCGAGAGAATGATCCGTTCGGTACAGTTCCGTAAATCGCTCAAGGTCACTGGGAGTCCACGACTCCTTCCGTGCAAGGAGCGTTGTCACCTCTCGCTGAGTAGTCGCTCGTTTTGAATTGGACGTTTTGTAGGCCTGTCGGGCAGAGCGGACACGGGCTTGGGCGTCAGCGAGGGATATCTCGAGGTGGGCATTGTCTGCTTTGATGGCCTCGATGCTGGTGTACCCGGTCATCTCGTTGAGGGTTTTTGACGCTGTGAGGACCCGAGATTGTACATTGTCCATGATCTCGCTGAATTTTTGATTCATCTCGCTGCGTCTCTTTTCCAATGCCGACGGGAGATCCCGGTGCTCCCTGATGCTCGAGAGGCGGTCGGTAATTCTTCTCAACTTGTCGACGGGTTGGGAATGTTCCTCAGGGGCTGCCGCCGGATCTCCAGCAGCCTCCTTCGGGGGTTTCGGTGGCTGTGACGAGAAAGACCGCCATGGACTGCGAGGGCCGAGGCCGCAGGGGGGTCGTAGGTATGTCGGTTGGAGACATGGTCCCCAATTCAACGAGGAGCTGAACCTCGAGGATGCCTGGAGCCCCAATCTTGTCTGGCTCACCATAGCCCGAGCTATGGGGCGTCCGAAAGGCTGCATCTCCGAGTCAATTATGTCGTCGCGACATTCGAGGTTCCGGTAGCCGATACATGTTGGGTTCTAAGTTCTGGCCCGGCCGGGGATTTCCGTGGGTTTCTGCCATGCCATTCGTGCTGACCGCTTCCCTAATACGGAGCGGCGTGCCAAGACCGACGGCAGCGTCACCGTTCAAATCAACGGAGAAGCTGGAAGAACCGTTTTTTTGCTGGTCAAACACCAGAATCGGAGTAGTGGCAGCCCGATAAAGTAAAGATGTGACTATCGGGTCCTTTACTGGAAAATGGCTCTCATATATTCATATTCCGAAGCTGGCTGAAGCTGTTTAATCCTCCTGAGACTCGAGAGCATGGCCGATACGGCGATTCGGCCGGTCCAACAGCGCTAAATGCAGCCCCTGCAGCCACATGCTACGGCCAAGCTCTAGCCCATGACGACAGCGGTCATCTTGCAGCCGCCGCTTGACCCAGAATGTATTCTCCGCGCTGCTTATTGCTCCCGTTGCGCAGCCAGCCTTGGGACAGTGTAACGGCGCTGCGGTTTTTCGGCGGGTTAGTTTTCCCTCAAGGTGCCTCTTCTCATTTTAGTATAGCCGTCGAAGGATTGGCACGTAGAACTAGAGCAAATGACCAGTTGAATCGCAGGTTTCTTGCTGGGCATTTACGTAGGCCGTATCTTATCTCACCCCCACGCTGCAGCTGCCCCTCCATCGGTGCCCCTCCATAATTGCATCTTCAGAGCCTGATCGCCCTCCCTCCTATTTTTTCTCTCTCTCTCAATTGTTCATACAACATTACGCAATTCCTCTACTATAGAGTCCTGAGCACATCTCCGGAACTTTCTAGGTTATTCCTGACCAGATACAACGCTCGTTCTCAAAATGGCGCCGACGAATCGCGAAACGCCGGCCTTGCGCACCAACCCCAAGTTCATATTTTTCACAGATTTCGACGGCACAGTCACCACCGCCGACTCCAATGACTTCATGACCGACAACTTGGGCTTCGGGAAGGCGAAGCGCGTCGAATCCAACAAGGGAGTCCTGTTCGGCCACGTGCACTTCCGCGACTCTTTCCAGGAAATGCTCGACAGCATCAACACCCCCTTTAACGAGTGCCTCGACATTCTCAAGAAGAATATTGTCCTCGACCCCGGCTTCGCCGAGTTCTACAACTGGTCTCGCGAGAACAACGTGCCCATTGTCATTCTGAGCGGTGGCATGGAGCCCGTCATCAGAGCTCTCCTGGACATTCTACTGGGACCTTGGTGGGATATCCAGATTGTTAGCAACGACGTTACAAGCAGAGAGGGCAAGGATCTCAACGAGAAGGGTGGCTGGACCATCAAGTTCCACGACGATAGGTTTGTTCTCACTTGTTGCGACTAAAAATGGACTTTGGGCTGAACAATGCGCTACAGTATTCACGGACACGACAAGTCCATTGAGATCCGAAAATATTCCTCTCTGCCCAACAGGCCGACGCTGTTCTACGCAGGTGACGGAGTTTCCGATCTGTCAGCTGCCAAGGAGACCGACCTGCTCTTCGCCAAGGCCGACAAGGGTGAGCCACCTTGGACAACGACATACGATAAACTTATGATGCTGACTGACTGCGCCCAGATCTTGTCACCTACTGCGAGAACGAGAAGGTTCCATTTGTTACTTTCCGCGACTGGACCACTATTACCCAGACCGTCAAGGATATCGTTGCCGGCAAAACCAACGTCCAGGAAGCCGCCAAGGGTCGGATTTGATTGCATATTTGCGCATTAGAATCGTTTGATGGCGAGGATATCAAGATGGTTGAGCCATAATAGAGTTGTTTCATGCCATGGATTTGCGAAGACCTGAATTTTCAATAGAAATAAACAAAGGGGGTATTTATATAAAACCTGACATAGACTTTGAATACGAAGTAATTCATAGCATGAAAAGCTGATACAAACCCTCAGATTGGGAAGTAGACAAATAGAAAGGTGTGCACTAATAGGTAAGACTTAAAGTTAGAGGACTGCAACTGTATTGAATAGACCAGAGCGACGATGGATCAGGTTGTAACACGAGGAGACGAGCTTTAGGGAGTAAACTTGCCCTCGGGCGATATCTTAGAATAATCTCTTAGTTCCCGTTCTCTGCCCACCAAAATAGCTCACTTCTCTCATTATCATCCGTAGACTTCTGGGAGCTACTACCATCTCCGGCACCATCGTCATGAGAACTAACTAGAAGTCGATTTTTCCGGTGCTGAAGTAGCCCCCGGTCCTGCGGATGAGTCACAAACCTTGGGTCGCGTTCAATAATCAGAGGTAGACTTGTATCCCTGTAATACTCACTCCGATGAAGAATGACTTTGATTGAGTCTGTCGGTGTCTCCGGCAGTTTAATCTCCGCGCGGCACTCTTGTCTCAGTGCGGTCGGAATACTTGCAACCTGAAATAGATCCTGCGTCTCACGACTGTTTACTTGGAGTTGGACACCTTCCTCGTTGAGTAGAGTAGACATGACCGTCTCTACTCCGCTAAAATCCGCATTCAGAGTGCCTACTAATTTCCCAGGGGAGGAATTAGAAAGACGATAAAGTTCACCTGCAGTGTTCTTAGTGGTATATGGTTTATATGATAAGTCTGCAGCCTCTAAACGGAGGCCGCTTGAAGCTTCCGCAGGTGATATTGCGGCATCCAAGGCTCGTGAGCCCTCTCCGTCTGTAAACAAGGTAGACGGTAAACGATACAACTTCATGGTAGAATTTCCTTCCCACACCAGATATTCACCACAGGCTGAGAAATCCACAGTCTCGTTCTTATCATAATCGATAGAAATGGTTTGCCTCTCTGTGAAGCGTCAGGTTAGCTACTTATTTAAAACTTAATTTCAAGATAGTCTATTACCCTTCAAGAAGCCCCATAAATAAAGTTTGCCAGAATTCATTTTGACCAGAGCAATTGGCAATTTTGGATGAAATATGGTCTTGGTAAACTTGTATCCGCGGTGATCTCTGGAATCGGATAGTCGAATAGCGTTGAATTCTCGATTCAGTGCAGGATTTTCGATATGAGAGAGGCTTGATGGGGCCGGCAGCTCATAAGCAGTCATGTTGAGGACTGGATCTTCACTTATCGGAACTTCACTCAGGATAACATACTTTGTCGTTGGGCTAAACGAGATCTGGCCCAAGCTTCTCTTGAAAGTTCGGCAACCCCCCAACGAACACGATTCATAATGCACAGGAGTAGCCCAGACATGACTTGAAAGTCCTTGGGCTTTGCATGAATCATCTGGAAGGAGTCGCCATATAATGTTCCGGACTGAGAATGCCATAGCATCAGGGCTGATACTAAGAACAAATCCCAGCGAACCAGAGTAAGCATACCCATGATACATCTCCATGCTCGCCACCACATTTGCAATGCGTTGACCGTTGACGCCCAATGGCCACAGATCGTATGTTACCCACCAAGAACAATAATTTTCGCGAATCCTGGTTTTTGTTGAGTTCTGGCACTCAAGATCCCACATTGCCAAAACACCAAGAAGCGAGCCATCAGATGATGTCGCTGATATTGAAAGGTACGGCCTTTCGCTCAAACCAGCGATGCTAGGCTTTTGGGGAGCCCTGGAAATTACGCGGGCTCCTCCAGAGTAAAAGAACAAGCTTCCAGCTAAAAAGTTCACTGCAGTGGCTTCATCCCATACAATATGGGGTGTCAAACGTTGTCTGTCATCCCACACTGCAACTATACGGTCTAGATCTGAACGGAACTCAAAGATGAGTCCCAATAGCTGGCTATCAACATTTAGAAAGCCTCTTTGAGAGAGATCTGAGAGCCAGCTCGCCCAAGTACGCAGCTCTGTTCCTGATGGAGATGCCCCTGCTTGGGTAGTGTAGTAAGTTTCGAGCCACACAGACAATGACTTGGGCGACTCCAGAAATGTTTTTAGCTCCATAGAAAAGACTCTAAATGCATCCAAGAAGGAGGCTCTGGATGTTGCAGGTGGTCCAGACAATTCATGGTCCAAAACAAAGCGTGATGCTGTCGCGTGATGTATCCAGTATAAGGCGGCGTAGTCCGTGAAAGGGAGCGCACGTCCTACCGTCACTGCTGAGACGCTTGTTCCGAATTTGCATGAGAGAGATTATATAGGAGTATGGTAAAGCAATTGTCGAAGGCATTGTGTTGCCAAGCGTAGATTCATCGCGAAAGAAGCTGAAGCAGGAGCCATTTGAAACCTTGGCTGCCCAGCTTGATCCTCTGGTTCTAATATTGAATTTGGCCAATCGAGCGCTTCCTTGGCCGAAAGGTGTGAAAATTTCAGAATGTTGATAGCCTCCGAATTGGATGGCAAGGGAGAAATTTCCACTAAACCCGCACACGCAATAAGTGCCGCCTTTTCAAAGTCCAATATATCGTCAGGCCGTTCTCCCACGGACCAAATAGCTGCATTAGATAATGCCTGGCGAGTTTGTTTGGTGCTCATGGCTGTTGCGCGATACTTCAACCAGATCAGAAGGTGAGTTGCCAGCTTATATGCTGTTTCGCCTGAGTTCCGAATGTGGCGGAAAATGCGCTGGTACATTTGTTCCAAGCCTTCAGGAAACCCAATCTCTTGCAATATCCTCATTCTTTTGCCTTTGGAATGTGCGAGAGATTGGATAAATGAGATCATTAGGCGAGCCCATAAGAACATCCCATCAGCTCCAAGAGCCATACGATCAAGTAGTTCGTCGAGGCACCCGTCGGCATAGTCCGGTAGAATTCCATCTTCGATTAGTTCCTCTAGTTCTCGGTAACTGAATAGACGAATGTCTGACTCCATCTTATCTTTCGGCAATGGCAAATGGTGTTCTGGAGAGACCGATTGTTGTAGCCGTTTTACGTGTATACGACTCAATGCCAGTACTCTAGTCGACGAAGCCTTCGTAGCTTCTAGAAGACCTTTGACAAATTCCTCGTGGTTTGAACATTCATCAACGCCGTCGATTACAATGATTGTTTGATCATCAACACACGACTGGAGAAATGAAATCAGAGCCGAGGGACTTTCTGCTACCAGAGATGGAGCGCTTTCCTTTTGACAAGTCATCAGGAAGAGAAACTTATCCACAATTAATGGATCGTGTCGTCCTTGCCAAAGAATTTGTTGCAGAAGGGACTTAAAAGCTGAGCTAGGTGTGATAGTCTCGGGGTGATTGAAGTGGAAAAAATGATACAAGACCTTGTATCTTTTCTCTCCATATTCATCTTCTTCTGTCTCTAAATGATCCAGTAGAAATGTCGCGAGAACTGATTTTCCAGATCCAGGATTGCCTTGGATGTTTGTAAGAAAGTTGTGTCAATGAATGGGATAGACATAATTGTGAAACTTACCTTGAACCCATAGCATGTTTTTCCCAAACCGCCGAATTTGTTGGCTCTTCGTCTCGTTTGTTGTTGGTTGAATCCATGATTTGAATTGAGCATCATCCAAAATCCACTCTCCGGTATTAGGTTCTCTGAGCCGCGAATTTGTTTCTCTAATTCCAGCCGAGCCTGAAGAGTCGAGCCACTTTTGGATTCGTTCAAATGTTTCTTCTTCACGAGGAGTTATTTTCATTGTCTTCAGAATACCAACTGTATGTGTGTAAGGAATGATTCGACAAGATACTTACCAAGACGACGCTCCTCTAATTTCCGTTTCTCAGCCAGGATCTCCCGCAGGATAGCTAGAATCTCCTTTCTTGATTCCAAGTCTGCCTCTTTTTCCAGGTCGCTGAGTCGTTTTTCTTCAGACAACACACGGCACTCTTCCTTTGTACCTTTCAGCTCTTGGCCGATATACTTGCGCCAAATCATCGTTTCCGTGTAGTTGTGATCGTCCCGCTTCAGCTTCCATATCCTGACCTCCGCATCGATGTTTTCTCTGTGGACATTCATTTTCTGGATCAGACTGTTGAACCTGATATCGAATGGCTTCCAAAGGAGTGCACCTAGAACGATAGGTGTTCTCTTGATTTCTGTTGGCCGTGGATACACAGTCAGCCTTTGTACATCCTGGGGTGTGCACAGTCTGTAGGAGACCAAGAAACTCACTTCCACTTGACTTCGTAAATACTTTTACCGCGGCCTGGAATATCTCAAACATGTCCAGGTATACTTCCAACACGTTTTGTCGAATTCTTTCAGAATCGGCATCTTTGCACAGGCTGACCACGTCAGCGTACCTGGGAAACGCATCTCGAAGGTGGACGAGGAGCTCGAGAAGCTTTTCGAAGAACGTCTCAATCCGACCAGACAACTAAAATGACTATGGTTAGTCGATACCAATGCAACAAGAAGTAGGTTTACGTACCTCGAGAACTAGGCGGAGAGTTCCCCAGAATATGGCGGAGACTTCTGGATTGCACTGAATGAAAATCCCCACAACATCAAAATAAGGCTGGAAGAAAGTGTTTAGAGTATAAAGACATTTCAGCCCCTTGGCAGCCTTCTTGGAGGTTCTACCCGCCGCAGTCTTTAGTTTGTCAATGGCCTTGACGAAGTCGTCACTCGAAGCGCAGGGCGAGTATAGCTTCTTATCCTCAGGGGACAGGGACTCGAGAAACTTGTCTCTGGCAGCCCCAAAGAGACTCAGAGTATCCTTTGTAGTCGAGGCACTGTCGTCCACAGATTCAGGAGGCATCGTACCAGGGCGTCTGCGACAGAGTCCTCGTTGGGAAAAGAATCCTCGTTGGTGACAGAGCCCCGTTAGGCAAGGATCCTCTTTAGGGACAGAGCCTTCGTCAGGAACAGAGACCTCGTCAGGAACAGAGACCTCGTCAGGAACAGAGACCTCGTCAGGAACAGAGACCTCGTCAGGAACAGAGACCTCGTCAGGAACAGAGACCTCGTCAGGAACAGAGACCTCGTCAGGAACAGAGACCTCGTCAGGAACAGAGACCTCGTCAGGAACAGAGACCTCGTCAGGAACAGAGACCTCGTCAGGAACAGAGACCTCGTCAGGAACAGAGACCTCGTTAGGAGAAACCTTACACTTTGGGAACATAAGAGTCCAGATAATCACGTTCCTCGAAATGAGTGGTAGAATTCAGGAAATGCCGGCCTCTTCGAAGAGCAGTATGCCTCCCGCTCAAGAGACAGCCCAAATATGCAGTTGCACGTTTCATATGCAACGTTGCTGCGTACCTATTCACTTTATTGGCTATGATATGTCCCAACCTTCCATGTCGGTTGGTCGAAGTCCCCGTATTGTGCTACAGCTCTAGTCCTGTGCGCCTCAACTAGCGGTGGTAAATACTGCAATGGGCAAAGAAGCCGTCCAGCAACATCCGCGCAACGACCAGGCCGGAGGACCTGGCATGAAAAGAGCAACCTCCGCCCTTTGCCCTATTAGGGGATTGACTGGCAAAAAAAAAAAACACTATTCCCATAGAGCAGCATTGGATAGCTACTCAAAAATAAGCAAACCCAGAGTAGTTTAGTCCGACCTCTTGTCTTCAGAGGGTATTTCCCACCAACATATCAGCATGACAATAAACATAGAAATAGCAATCGGGTGCAGGACAGACGTCCCAACCGCCTGCGCCAACAACCCGGTAATAAAAGGGGCGACGGCACCACCAAGGCTCCCGCAGGCGCTGATGGTGCTCATACCGGACACGGCCTCCCGCCTCGTCATGTTCCGCAAGAACACCGCAGCCGAGCAAGGGTAGATGGGTCCCAGCATGAGGCCGACGATGGAGATGGCCACGGCGTTGGTTACGATATTCGGCACGGCCCACACGAGGACCTGGAAGGCCAGGGCACCGAGGGTCAGGCAGTAGATGAATAGTTTCTCGCCTATGCGCTGGGCCGGGCCTGCGAGGGCGAGCCGGCCGATGGTGATGCATGCCCAGAAGGCGGCCGTGACGTACCCGACAGAGGAAGGGTCGCCGTCACGAGCAGTGATGAGAAATGAGATGACCCAGCCCGAAATTGACACCTCGGCGCCTTGGTAGGCGAAGATGAAGATAGATCCGAGAAGAATGACTCTCGAGTTGAGAGTAGAGTACACGCCCAGGAGGGGTGAAGCTTCAAGGGGTTCGTTGGCTGGCGAGCCCTGTTCCTTCTCGTAGTTGTTGAAGGCCCAGAGGGATAGGCCGACGCAGATGACGATCAGGCCAAAAGTGACGATATAATACCGGCTCCATACCGTCTCTGCAACAGTCATAAGTGTGGTAGCTATCAGAGGACCCATCATACCTCCAAGGCCAAACGAGCCGTGCAGCAACCCGAGCATAAAGGTGCCGTTTTGCAGGCCGCCGCAGAAGACGTTGCCCACAGCGTCGTTGGTGGCAATACCAAAGCCCACGAATATAAAACTCAAAGCAACAACGGCAAAGGGGGCAGTGAACACCACCGGCAGGTATCCCAACAACATCAACGCCTGGCCCAACCCCAGAACCTTGCCCCGGCCGAGTTTGTCTCGCAAGGAATCCAAAAATGCGGCGGCAAAGATGAATCCGATGGCGTGTCCCACGAATATCATCGAGACCATGGCGTAGTCGATGCTATAGTGCCTAGTACACATACAACTATCAGAATCATGATGGAGGGAGTTGGCTCTCGGAGGCGTCGGATGACACTCACGACTGGATATACGGAATCAAGGCACCAAAGGCCCCGTCGTTCAGCCCGCCTATAACACTAGCAACACAGACAGCCAACAGTCGGAACCGGTTCATAAAGGGCTCCCAAACGCTAGGGAGCTTCTCCATAACGTCACGGCTTCGCACAGGGCTCGACGACCGGCTCCTCTCGAGATCATCGTGTTCGGCGGAGAAGGCGGCAGCTCCCGTCGGGAAGCTCTGACCCGCCGGGTGAGCCCGAAGCTCTACGACCTTGGTCCCCGTCCTGGGCTGGATCACGGCCAGCTCTTCGCTGCTGCCGCCCGCGGCGGAGTCTGAGGTCTCATCGCTGGCGTGTAAGTCGGGAGGTCCAGCCTTCATTTCAAGACATGTTAGGACGGACGTCGCCATAACTTGCCGGGGAAACAAGTTCCAGGAAAACGGCGGCAGATATCAGACAGGCCGCGCCCCTTCAGCCAGCCAGGCAGGAGGCAACTTTTATCAAATAGAGCCGGGACTCGTATCTCTCGGCCTCAATGCGGCGAAACTGGACAACCCCCGCAGGCCCTTCATAGCTCGTGGCGTACACTTATACCACCCGCCGCGGGCATATATTGTGCAAAATAATGTAGTGGAATGACTGCTTTCGGTCTTACTACCGTCTCTCAGAGGAACAGTCGGCTCTTTCGTCCCACAGGGCCGGACTTACACCCATGCCCAGCCCACTTTCTGAGCGTTGTTGAGGTTTCATCAGTGTTGACAGCTTGGCACCGGTCCGAGCCATAAACCTTAATGCACACACCCACTGGGATAGTCGATGTCACGGTCGGTGAGCGGCAGTTGTGAGGAATGCACAGCTGTTATCACGCCCTCTCCCCTTGGTCTGCCCGTTTATGCCACTCAGGCGCAGCTCACAGCCGGCGATGATGGATTCTACTAGAGCGACTTGGCGTTGTCAATATTGACGGACATCCGATTCGGGAAAGTCCGCCCAACAGTCAATCTTACCAAAATTGGGCGGGTTGAAGGATATTACTATATTGGGACTCATGCGTTTATCCGATACGACATCCCACTCGCCAAGCCCACAATGCCCCTCCAACAATTAACCCCAAAAGAGCTTCGGGAGGAAAAAAGTTAGTGAATATTCAGAGAGGTGCACGCACTGGTCAGATCGTGAGAAAGAATATAGACATTCAATCGGCTCTTTTATCTGTCTACTACTATGGGTCGTCCAAAGCGCAATGTCCTCGCCGCCGCTGAGGCATCTCTCACTCCACCGGGCAGCCTTGAGCCCAACCAGTACATTGTGAGGGTGGTGAAACCCGAGGGCAACAACCTGTACGCTTGCGAGCTCGCCAACAAGAAGCCGATCATTCTGGAGCTCGCGCAGCGATTCCGAAATACCATATGGATCAAGCGCGGTGGGTTCGTCGTCGCTGAGCGGTATCCTGCCGAGACGGAAGAGACTCGGGCAGACGGGGAAATTATCAACGTCGTGCGCGACGAAAAGCTATGGCGCAAGCAATCATACTGGTATGTGACGCGAGGATGAGGTATATAATTCACACGAATTCATGTTTGCTGACTCTTAGCTTCACTCCAGGCCCGAGGAGTTTCCGAAGACGTCTTCTTACAACAACGAAGACTCGGAAGATGAGTCCAACGTCGGCAAAATGCCACCCAGCGACTCGGAAGACGAGTAATTGTAGCTTTAAGAAACTCTATCTAGACGTCTTATTTTGTCTTCTTTGGCTCAGAAGATGAGGCCTGTGCCCGGGCAGCTCTCTCGTCCTCTGACGAGCTAAAGTAAGCTGCGAGGACAGTGAGACCCAAGACGTTGACAACAACTGCCGAGCTGATGGGGGTGCTTGGGAAGACGTTCCATGCCCACTCCTGGGCCAGCCAGACGCCATACACGAGCAAGAGATTTGACCGAAACCGCCAAATGAGGTAGGGCGTGGACCAAGCCAGATAGGCATAGAACTGGTAGTGCAGGGATCGGGCGAATAACAAGCCAATTACGTTGGCGGACAGCATTGTGGTCATGACAAACTCCGGGGTGACCTTGAGCGATACACGTCGCTCCTCTGGCGGCGTGAATGGGGGCTTGAGCTGTATAACAGACAAAATCATGTCCAGAAGCGGGCGGTCGGCTGGCTGCAGCCACTTGACGATGATGAAGATTAGGAGGAACACGACATGGCACCCCAAGAGAGCAAGCGCAAACGGCCGGCTGAGGAAGACTTCTTCACCCATCATACGCCAATTGACGGTCCACTCGAACTTGAACTGGCGAGACAGCTCGAACGCTCGTCCCAAATAGCCCTTGGCGTTCGTGGAGAGGAAAGGAATCGCGATTGCCAATTGGACCTGTGCCATCAGCCAAAGCACCCGCAAGCAGGGCCAGAACCCTCGTCCTAGGAACAGGAGGATGACCACAGCAGGTAGTGTGAGGAGAAGCGACATCTTTATACCCAGCCCCCACGAAAACACAATCGCTCCGAAAGTCCACGACCTGCGCTGGAAGAGGAATATGGCGAGAAAGAGGAAGAAGACAGCGAAGCAATCGTTGAAGCAACGGAGGACGAAGACGCTGTGCAGTCGTTTGGATAGGATCAGGAGCGGGAAGACGTACGGCGGGACCTGGGGTTCTCTCCGTTAGAATAGAGTACACGAAGAGAGCTTCGATGTAGACGCAATATACCTTGGCTTGCCAGTAACATAGCATCACCACCGCCAGGGTGGCCATGTACAGCACAGCGAAAAGCTGCTGGGCAAGGAGAATATTCTTCCCCTCGCCCGTCAGGTAGTAAAGACCGGTGTATGTGTAGAGGTGTGCTGCTGGGTAGACAAGGGGCCCCGTGCCTCCCTCCATCTTCGTGTAGTCTCGTTCGCCATTGACATACTGCGACACCTGCTCCATGTACGCGACCCAGTCGATCTCGGTATCTTGGTTTCGAAAACGTCAGTCGGTGCGGTTTCGTATAGAGCTAGCTAGCTAGCCGATCGGCGGTTGCTGGCTGCGTTGGCCATAGCTTACAAGGGACCTTCCAGATGACGAGGCAGGTGAGCAGCGCATCACCAAGCCAGAGCAGCGGAGGGATGAATTTGGCATACTGGTTTCGGCGAGTGGCGACATCGAGAATGAATCGAACGGGCCCGGGAAGGCCTTGGGCTCGAGAGGAAGCCATTGGAGCTCTCCTCTGACGCTCCGAGCTTGACGTTGTGGTGGGGTCTTGCAGGTTTGGGGGGAAGAATTCCGAGTCGAGGCGCCACGCGACGGAACTTTAAATGCACACGTGTTTCACGCCTCGGCAGATGCATACAATTATAAAGTTCACGACAGCTCCCATTGTTCTGAACTGATATGTCTCAAAACAATAGCATCTTTTTTTTTTTCTCCACGAATTTGATGCGATGAGTATATTGTTTGCTTATTCGTATCTCAAACAATAAGACAAATAATTCAACAGACTTGGCTCACAGCTTGCTCTTCACCTGAGCCCGGATCTTGTCCACCAGCTCTACCACCCGCTCTGCACACCCATAGGACCCCTGATATCCCCATCCAGCATGCCCGTAGTTGTGAACAATCCACGTGCTCTCGTCCAGCTTCTCGTCCTCAATCCTAACACCCCCGTGGCGGTATGGCCGCAGCCCAACCCCGTGCCGAATGACATCCAGACCCGCAACACCCTTCCCGTTGGCGATATCAGGCCGCGCCTCGACAACCCGCCTCATGATCCGGAGGGCAATGTTCGGATCCGGTGCAGACTCCCAATTGTTCATATCGTAGGTCCCGCCGAGGATCGTGCCCCCGCCCGCGGCCCTCTGCATGGTGTAGATCAAATCAGCAGGCTCATCCTCCGTCCCAGAGACAGACAGCATGGTCGGCAGCTCGTTGCGCACAAGCACAATCTGCGCCCTGATCGGTGCCAGCGCCGCGTCCTCGACGCCGCCGAGCTTGCGCGCGCCCAGGCCCGTCGTGTTGATGATGATGTCCGCCGGGCGTCCCGTGTGGCTCAGGGCCTTGGCCTCCCTGATGTTCCCGAGGACCCCGCGCTTGAAGACGACGCCGGCCTTGCGGCACTGTCCAAGGAGCCAGGGGAGGTAGATGGCCGTGTTGATGCAGACGCTGGTGAATCCGCAGCCCGAGTCGGTGCCGGGGAGGAGCTCGTCCTTGTCGAGCTCCCGGTAGTCGTCGAACAAGTCCTTGAACCAGGGGTCGAGGGCGAAGAGGCCCAGTTGGCCCTTAACCTTCATGTCCTTGTTTCGTCTGTAGACACGACTTTCTTTTATAGAGGTTAGTATACCATCATCTTTATAATTGGGGTGGAAGCGGCAAGGGCTGTGTCGTTACTTTGAAAATGAATTCCAGCCTCGGGAACTTCCTCTGTGAGCCGCTTCAGCTCAGGCCATGTACGTCGCTCCCATCTACTCCCCTCCCTACTTGACATCCTACATCAATTTATTAGCAGCAAATCCGACTAAGGAGGCTCAAGAGACATACGGCTCAAAGTTGGCACCTGCCCATGGTGACGCATACTCAATATCGTAGTCACCGGGCATATGCTTAGCCACGATAGTCAGGTCACATCCCTCGATACTCTTCGAGAGCAACAAGGCTGAAGTGAGGCCCGAGACGCCAGCGCTGAGATCCGAAAGAGTCAGTGAGGAACGGCACTCATGCAAGACAGATCGATAAGCCGTGTAGTAGCTTAGCCCGGGGTCGAACCCACCCGACGATAACAATTGTAGGTGCCATTTTGACTATTCGCAATTGCTGAATGACTATTTTCCCCGTCACTATCGATTGCTGAAACAACACAACTTATATGGTTCGATATGTCTTGGGATACAAGTTTGTCACTTATGCCCGGAACATGTCCGCACGGTTTCTCACGGTATTGGCGGGGCATGAAAGAGTCGTATCCATCCTTTGTGCATAACCGCGAGATCCCGCTCGACATAGGGCGCTCCGAAGTCGGGTCAAGTTCAACAGAAGTGCTAACCATCTCTCTCATCTCCAACATCAACCAATTTTGTAAAAAGTCATTATACCGAATTGGCTTTGATGCATACTGTATGCTCTATTTCCAAAAGATAAGACTTTATGTAGTTAATGCATGGTCGCCAGTAGGCTCAAACATCATTATGAGCGTCAATCACGACATACCCTTATACAACATGACCCAATCTTCTTCTCCTGCGTAGAATTATACAAACATTTTATTTATCTTGTTGAAACCCTCGTATTGCCTACCTCTGAGAAAGCAGCTTCAGCTTAGTCTGCAGCCCACCAGGATTGGCGCCAACCATCTCATCCACCTTCTTCCCATCCTTAAAGAAGAAGAAGGTCGGCATCGCCCGGACGCCCAGCTCCTGGCTCAGCGCTGGGAGCTCGTCAACGTCAAACTTGACAAAGTGGATCTGCTTGAACTCATCCGTCTCGGAAAGCCTGGGCGAACAAAGGACATGTTAGCAATTAGCTCACCTCAGCGGAGTTTCACCGCTGTTTGAAAGAGGGATATCGAAAGCCTACTTTTCCAGGATCGGGGAGATGGCCTTGCAAGGGCCGCACCAATCGGCGAAACAGTCCACAATGACCTTGTCGTTCTGTGCGAGGTGGTTCTTAAAGGTCTTCTCACTACGCGGTCGGGCAATTCTGTCAGCTCCGGTCCCACACACACATACATCCTAATGCTATGCATCAAGAAAAGTCTTCGAAGCCGTACTTTGGGGCGTGGTGGACGACCAAGCGAGAAGGCGTCGAGTGGAACTGACGGACAGCGGCCGACGCAGATGCTCGTACGGCGTGGCGGGAGGAGGCCATCGTTCGGGGGGCGAGAGCGTTCATGGTGGCTGGGTTTGGCTTGCTAATGTCTCGGGAACCAAGGGCGTTTTCGCTGAAGGCGTGAGGGTGCGACTGATGCTTCAATTGTCAGGTTAAACCATTGCGACTGTGAAATATCGGAATGCGGCTGTATAGGTTAGCTATGACGAAAATTAGCCGATAACGATAATGCCCGATAGCGATAACCGATGACGCAGGATGCTTCCTCAGCGGAGCAGCATCCGGCAGCTCTCAAGCTTCTGGGCCTGTTTGAGCTCCTACCTACTGAGGTTAGGGAGCTTGTCTCGATAGAATCTGTCCTTCCGCTCTGACATCCAGTCCCTGGGCTGCCATTGGCCTTCCTCTCCCTTGGTGGCTTGGTCTAGCAGGCACGGTCCTCTCTTCGCTCACCCAATGTAAGCGACGAGCAAGCAAGCAACTCCCTGTGGCGTCAGCCCAGGCCCATGCAAAGATAATATCGTACTTGCTTTTGATCAAGCCACTTCATTCAGCTTGGAACTACACGCTGCGCCATACGGCTTACGATCCGCGCACCCCTCCCCCTGGACGCTTAATATCAAGCTACTCACTCTGTCACAATCACCTTACCTAGCGTCCGCAAGATGACCATCAGGTCACTGCTACATTGCCAGTTGTGCACAGTGAAACGCCAGCACTCGGTAATCAAACAAATCCACTCCCAGCGTCTAGTTCATGCGTGGAAAGCAGAAGCAGAGCGGACCGCAACATGCAGTGGTACGTAATTCTAATCTTCCCCTTACCTGCTGAAAGAGGTACTATGTACTGCCCTCATCCTGGAGAGTAGTCCTCGAACCGGGGCACCGTATGCGCCAAAGTTCCAACAGGAGACTCGGAGGGTTGCATCTGAGATGGAACCACTTAATTTAGCAACGCGGCGTCGTCGGAACTCAGTAGGCGCAGAAGCCTCCCGCGCGTAAGACTACGGCTGGCGAGAATGAGAGTTTATGCGCTGCAGTAGCTGATGCCGGATATTGGCTTGCTGCTTTCATCCCATATGCCTGTTCCTGCAGCTTGAGATAGCGATCCCCACACCAGTTGAGGGTGGCCTCATCCTACCTCTCCCATGTTGCGTATGACGTAGGGCACATCCACCACTAATATTGAGAGTTGTCTTGTGACTTGCAAATATACCGTTGTATTCGACGGCTATGCCGTCCTAAAATCGAAGCAGGGCCTTCAGTCAAAGACTATTATCCGAGGCCAACCTAATAAACGCCTGTTCAGAACCTCTTGTCCTTTATAGAAGCACCGCTTCAGCCGTGGAATAAGCAAAAAAAAGGAATCCCCAGAAATATTGCATCCAATTACGCCTCTCCATGCAGTGTAGGGATGTGAAAAAGAAATAAAAAAGCAATTAAAAAACACCGACTCTTTTCTTTTCCGTAAGTGTAGATGGTCGCACACTAAAGCCTGGATGGATTTGCCTTCCAGCCCAATGTGCCGCCAATCTCCTCTCCAGTAAAAGGAACAAATACACCAATTCCAAATAGATAGCACCTCTCCAAATCCGATTGCTCCGGGGTATCAAGGTAATATGTGCAGCAAAAATAATGAAGCAGACCCAAAGCGCGCGCGTATACCTTTGTAAAGTGTGTATAGTACAACAAAAACCAATTATATCCAGCTGGCCAACAACTATTGTTCCGATAGTGAGCCTTGCCCAAAAAATATGAATGCGATGATAATTCTTGCGAGATTGGTCACAAGCCGCCCTTTTTTATTCGAGTTTTGACCTTTTTTTGGTAACCGTTAAGTTCGCACCGCTTGACCGTTGAATTTTCGAGTTTTTTTTTCTTCTTTTCTCTTTTTGTTGTTATTGTTGATCATTTGATAATTTTCGATTTTTTTTCCATGTTCATCTGAATTTTCCGAGTTTTTGTTGTGTTTATCTTTCGACGGTCAAGGGTTATTGAGCTGTTAGGTTTTTTGAACGTTTGGTGACGAGAAAAAAAAAAGAGCGACTATGGTCAGTTTTGACATAAAGAAATAGTGTTCCGAACTTTGTCGTTGTCTAGATATGTTGCTGGGCGGATTGTGCCATAATCTTCGCAGAATCCCTCAAAATCACATTTTGGAAGGGTTGAACTCTTTCTGTTTAGGTCTATTGACCTGCAGAAAAAGGATCTTAGTTTGAGGCCTTGGCGTTTGGTGTGGATTTACTGTCCACATCCTCGAGGCTCAAGGGAGAGGGCGGGGCTGGGACTTCCTCGTCTTCAGACTCGATATTGAGGAGTCCTTCAACACTCCGCAGGGTGCTTCGATGCTTGTGCACGACTTGGGGGTGGGAACCAACATTCCCCCACTTGGCACCTGATTCGTCAATATAATCTTCATCATCGCTGCTTGGTCGGCCATCTCCTTGGAGGTTGTTAAACCCACTAGGTTCTCGGTTGGGCGTCAAGCGGACGAGATAATCGTCATCAGCGATAGCTAGATCCTCTTGGGTAGTATTGGTGGGCGAGCTGGCAAATGGCGCTTCGGTAATTCGATTGGCTCTGAGCAGACTCTCGCGCATTGCCGATGATCGCTTGGTGCTGACTTTTCCAGAGAGCCACGAGCCTTCCGAGTCAACGGAAGCCAAGGACATGGAGAGCACCGGATTGGCGTCAGGGGAGGGCACGGAAGACACCCTGTCGAAAGAAGTCGAGCGGGGGCGGTGATGACCGGATGCCCCCGGGATTGGGATAGGTTGTGTGCGGGTGTCATCGCCCGTGGATTCTGCCACGACTGGGAGGTCTGGCGATTGCACTGGCGATTGCACTGGAGACTCGGGAGGGGATGGATAATCTGGCAAGTCCTCTCGGAATCTCGATTTTGTTCGGAGCGAGCCTTGTTTTCGGGAGATGTATACACCTGACCCTGGCTCTACCCTTGGTAGCTCTTGACCTTGTAGCCTGGCAAGTGCTTCGGCCTGTGCTTGGGCAATCGACTGGGCTCTTATTGCTGCTGCGGCAGCAGCGGCAGCCTGCATTTCATCCCTGGAGGTATTCGAGAATGAGGATGGAGTTGGATTTTTGCGCAGGCGTTTGCTTCCCCATCGTATGAAGTTGGTAAGAGACAGACGGTTCCTAGTCCCGCTACTTGCTGTACTTCTTCGTAAACTATCTTCCTCAACTTGATCTCTCTCGGAAGTCACTGTGGATTTCGACTTGCTTCGCCTCAAGCGAAGAAGACTGCCTAACCTTGAGCTTGGTTGGACAAGCGATGCCGTCGATTCTTGTGCTTTAGATTCCCCAGGTTGAAGATCCTGTCGAGTGGGCTCCTGGGGGATAGACTCCTTCTTCAATTCGTCCTCCAAGGGGGCTTGGTCCAAAACCATCGGTTCTGGCTCCTCAATAGTCTCATGCTCGATTTTGTCAACAAGCTCGTTCTCAAGTGGAGCAGGCTCCTCAACTGGCTCAGCACCTGAGTCAGCCGACTTCCGGGGCGGGTGCTCGGCTTTCTCGAGGTCTGAAGATTCAGACTTGCGATGAGATGAGGAGATGGATTCGCGACGCTCGGATGATGTCCTGACGGCAGAGGGTGGGTCAATGCCGAGACCAATTAGCTCACGGCCAGCAACACCTCTCTCGAGATTCTCTGGAGGAGGAGTTCCTGCTTTGCGAGCCTCGACTAGTTCAGCTTTTTGCTTCTCAGCGCTGCGAGCCAGTTTACGTCCAGCCCGCTCGCGGTCCTTCTGTCGTCGTCGCTCTCGTCGCCGATCTTCTCGCTCCATCAGCTCGCGAAGACCGCCAGCGTCAAGGTCGTCGGCCAACTCGTCGATACGCTTCGGGCCTTTCAACGTAGGCTGCCTCGTGGGGCCGATATCAAGGCCGAATCTGCTCTGCCCTGGATGGGGAGTCCGAGAGGGCGAGCTTCTGGGCCCGGGTTCATAGCGAAGAGTTGGCCTTGGAGCTAACGAGTCGAGTGCCGAGACCTTGAAGGAAGCATAGTCCGAATCTGACGACATGCTAGAATCGATCGAACCAGGAACAGGGATAGAGACATCAGACGTACGCGGTACTCCAAATCCAGGCATGGCCTTGAATTTTTTGCTCTCTTTCCTCATCGGCCGCCCTGATGTCCACTCCTCGGCAGCGGGTCTGACGGGCGCAAACTCGCTAATGGCCTTGATTTCAGCAGCCCTGGCTCTTTCTTCCTTCTTCCTGTTGTTCTTTCCCCTTGCAGACTTCTTTTTCTGCTTATTATGGTGTAGTGTGGGTGTACGCGCCCATTCTGGTTGAGGCGGGAGGTCGTGTTCATAGATCTGCCGAGAATGCCGGGCTCGTCGATCCGGAGATGCTCTGCGCTTCTCTGTGCCCAAGGAATCCTGGCGGCCTGGAGAGAAGCTATATCTCCGTCCAGGTTGGCTAGACGGACCAGGCTCAATCCTTTGCTTCTTCTGCGAAGCGCCTCGAGTGATTGCGCCTTCACCGTGTGCCTTTGCAGACGACCCCTCAGCGTCAGATAGGGCTGCGCCGCTGAGGGGCCGCTTCCGACCGCTCTTGCGGCGGAAAGGCCACAGGGCCATCCTGCGATAGTCCCTGTGGACGGCGCAGTTCCTAATGCTCAGGTATGGCTGACGATGGAAGTATTAAGTAGGTAGTTCCGAGGTCAACGGCGGGCTGTAGCATGGTGCAGGTCCTCCAGAAGTCGGCGTCGGTGGCAGTCTTTGGTCGTTCGTTGACGATATCACTACCAATAGTAGCCTTAAGCAGCAGGCTAAGATGGTAAGCGCATCTATATGGTATGGCGATGCGAAAGAGGTGGTGAATCCCAGATACCCGGAGATTCGGAAACTCGCTGTTGTGTTTTCAACATGTAATGGCGGTGGAATGCTGGTATTGGCGTGGTGGTCGTGTCGGTTCAGATATTCGAGACACTGTCGACGACGATGCGGCGAGTGGGCGGCAGCACTTATACAAGGGGCTGACGGTGCAAAAGGAGCGAAAAGGAAATCCAAGACGTATGCGCCGTTCCTCTTTGCTTTCTGGAATTCGAAG